ACCAGCCATAGTTTAGGTGGCAGCACATCACAAGGACATGATCAACATGTCCTGCTGGTTGCAGTCAGGGATCAATATTTGGAGAAGAGGGTGTGTCCTTTGGCAAGCACATCCCAAGCTGCCCCAGGACCTACATGCAGCTGGTTGGGTTGTTCAAACCAAACTGTGGGCTCCAGGGTCTGCTGCTCACTCTCTCATCTCCTCTCTTCCGAGCATTCCATAACCAGCCATGACATTCTGTGACTACCTGTGTCACAGCAGCATGCACATGCTTTGTACGGACCTTGTTTCTGGGAAGGACAGCAGCAGGGGCAGTTTCTGATTTGGAACAAGTCCCTCCTCCACCCACGTGCCTGCAGGAGAGGCGGGGAGAGATGGGGGTCACAGAGAGACCCTGGCATCCCAGCCTTCTCCTCGCTACCCACGGTACCAGATGGCAATGGGTGGTTTTCCAGGCACAGCTCTATGTTTCCCACAAGTACCTGATCTGCCATACTGGCTCCTCTGCTCTGCCCAGATAACATGAGGAGCAGCATTCTTTTAGATTGTTTTAGGGGGGCAGCATCCATTTAGATTGGATATCAGAAAGAAGTTCTTCATGGGTGGTGAAGCACTGGCACAGGTTGCCCAGAGAAGCTGTGGATGCCCCATCCCTGGAAGTGTTCAAGGCCGGGCTGGATGAGGCTTTGAGCAACCTGGTCTAGTGGAAGGTGTCCCTGCCCATGGCAGGGGAGTTGGAACTAGATGGTCTTTAAGGTCCCTTACAACCCAAACCATTCTACGGTTCCATGATCCTGCTTCTTCTGCCAAGACAGCCTCACACCTGTCCAGCTAGGCAAGGGAGGCATCACTACTACAGGTCAAAGTCAGACCTTCATTCTAACTAAAGTCAACAGCTGTGCATCTCTGATTATGGGTGCCACATGCTCTGCCCACCTTGTTTTTCAAAAGGACTGCAGCATTCTTCAGACTTTGGCTTCCAAGTTGATTTTGCATGCAGCCCTTTATTGTACTGAATATGCCTGAACTGCAGTACCAGCCTAGAGGAAAAAAAAAAAACCCCTTTGCCACTACAATTAAGACTAGCAAGACAGACGACGGCTCCATTTCCCAGATGTATGGAAGCAAAAGTAACATCCTCTAAGCAACGCATACCACACTTGTTTAGAATGGCTTATCAAAACTATCTCCAGATAACGTTACAGCACCTTCACTGCATGGCATTGCCAGTATGCTCTCCAACAGGCAAGGCAATGCCATGCCTCAATCCAGCGGGAACCAACTTGGCATGCTTTGTCAGCCAGCACTACTAACTGTGAGGCTAGTTTGTGTGTTGCAAAAAGTGTAGGAAAGACACAATTACAAGCGGGGACCCACTGTCTGTGGTGACATAGAAAACTTCATGTCACAGCTATGACTTTTGGAACAAACACTAAAAGCATCATTTACCTTAAACAGCTCAATTTCCAAATACAAAGCTTGTTATCAGCTGCCGATTCTCAACGACTATAAGCAGCTTTCAATAAAGTCAGTTCATGTTGCTCCCTGCACTGCACAGGCTGACCAACACTGCCTTTTATCAGCTATCAGCACCCAGATACCACTCCCTTCCCCAGCCATTGCTGCCCACCACAGCCAGTTCCAAGAAGCAAAGCTAGGCCACGTCTGGGAAACCCAGTCAACTGAAACACCACCACAGAAGCACCACACACGCACAGGTCTTGAGGGGATTCTTCACTGCCATCCCTCACAGGTTTATTTTCCTAGAAAAACCCCTATCTAGCCACTACTTCTCCTAAGGGTTTCTAAATGGCTGCATAGTTGCATTTTGAACCCACACCACGTGAGCTAGCATTTTCCATACAGAAAATGGACTCGTCCTCGTAGAAAACCCTGTGTCCATATCAAACATTTCCCAGAAGTAAATCACTTGCCCTACTTGTTCAAGGCATCCCAACTTTATCCCTCCATGCAGCCTGTATCGCTCCTGGTGCTCCTCCAACATCCGTGGTGGACGCCAATTCACCTGCTTCAAACTCAAGATGTTTTCAGTTATTGTCACGTGATTTCTGATGCAAAACAATTTTATCTGACACTTCACCACAGTTTTTGTTTATCTCAGCATTTCCTCAGGACTGACCTTAAAATGTAGCAAATACAGTTGGAGGGGGAAAAACCGTACGTTGATGTTTTCCGTTTCAGAAGGGAGTGCACAAGTCCCGGAACCCACACCACAGAGGACAGACAGCTCAAAAATCATGCTTCTTTCCATGGTATTTTAGGTACTTCCTTCTTACATTTTCCAGGAAGGAAGTGGCACGTGTAGCATGAATTTTAAACGTTACACCATAGTTTTCTTCAGAACTACAAATTCAACGTTTCTCTTAATTACTGAGCAACCAAATTAAAAGCCACAGCAGAACTTGCTGAATGACGCAGGTTTTGAGAAAAGTTAAATAGTCAATTCAAGAAAAACTGTTTCCTTCAGCTCCAGTGTACACAGGAGACACCACTGACAGAAGTTTCCCATCACATTTGTTTGGAATACAGTAACAAGTAACCTAACACTTTGAAAGATTAAATACATGTGTTGCATTCAAGTTACACAGAAGTCATAATTACTTAATTATATGTACAAATATTATTTCATTTCTAATTTTGAATTAATGCATACCATAAGCATACTCTGCATTTTAACCGCTTATTTGAGTTAGCCACAAGGTGGCAGAAATTTCAAAGTTAAAATAAAAAAGATCATTGTAGGTTATTCCACGGGTTTGATTTTGTTTAACCTGCTACAGCTAGAAGGAAAGGAAGAACATGTTTATGTCACCAGGTTAAAAATTAAAGAACAAGTCCTTTTTCTACCTGTGACGGAAAAACAAAATTAAACCTATAGCATAATATACAATATAGATGCTTAAGGGAAAAGGCTATACAACCACGGATTCATGAAGTAAAGCATTATATTTTTATAGTTTAATATCTAGATTAAAGTTATCAACTACAGAAGCTACAACAAGCATGAAATATGCGGCCTAAAGCCCAAATACATTATTTTAGGTATTCAGATTACAACCTTCTCTGTGTTTGGAAGCAGCATTAAATGTTCTAATTTAAAAAAGAAAAAAAGAAAAAAAAAAAGGAAAAATCATAACAAACAATTAGGAGAAGCAAGCAGCTGCTAACCAGAGAACTGACATAAAACAGCCCACACCATAAAAAGGCACCTCAAAGCTTTTTTAAAACATGGCTAAAAATCATTAAGCAATAACTCCCATCTCCTGTCACTGGCAAATCACTAAATTTCTGCTCTCCTTAGTCAAATAATTTTACCCAAATTTTCAATTTTCAAAATTATTAATTTATTTTTATTTAAAGTGCAGCAAAATTTGATGACAAAAATTAGCAAATTAAGGTAAAGCACAAAAGACATGGCAAGGGGAAGATCGAGATGGTTTCTTGGAAGTTAATGCTTACATGATAATTTTATCGATTAACTAATCAGAAGCAAAGTTGCACATAAAATCCTAACAAGAATTCCAAAAAGCAAGTTAGGCAACTATAATGAGTAAATAAGGTACTTACTGTCTAGCCTGGTCCTTATTGCCATACGTTACATTTACAACTGCAGTCTCCGTGTCAGTGTTCACTAGAGAGGAAAACGCAACAAGAGGAGGTTAATTTCAGTGCACACGTACTTCCCACTACAAATTGAAAAGCAATTTGAGAGTAGAGCCATACCTTGCTCACAGTTCTCCACTGTTCCATACTGAGCTAACAAACTATCCAGCACCTATCAAGGGGTTAAAGAAAGGACAGATTTCAGTTTCAAAACAGATTAACAAAACAAAAAAAGCCTGTCACAACCACTGAAATTTAAAGTTATTATATCAGAACATAGAGCATTTAAGACATCCACTCAGCTAAGGAAGAAGCGTTAACTATTTTGGGAAGAACAAGCACATGTATGGTTTTCTGATGTGAGAAAGAAAACAAGCAACATTTAAAACCTCATAAATGTGGAAATACAGAACTCCAAGAAGTCACACTACACTAAGTCCCAAAAGTTGAAAATACACCTCCAAGTCACCTGCTCTCAGAAAAGGCTAAAGCATAGGCAGGAAGAATTAGAGAAGAGCAAATCTGGAATAAAAATCTTCCCGTGTATCCCAAGCCCATATATAAACCCGCCACTGTTTGGGTTTTGAGGTTTCAGGTTTTTTTTTCTCCTCCCAATACACATAGGTCACGCTTAACAATATTATTTTCTTATTTAATGGGGGCTTGTCTACATAGATAAATTAACCAGAAAAGAGCATATCAAGAGCTGTTCCACAATTATTTTAACAGTTTGTCCACAGAACCATTCCAGAGGAATCACAACAGAATCTTCACAATTATTTGAAAGTCACAATTGATTTGTCCTGTGGTATAAAGCTAGAGAACAACAGGTAACAAGGAGCAAAAGAAATCCAAATAAAGTAGTTTTATTTGGCATAATTTGTTTTATTCTAGTCAAATGGAGGATGAAGAAGGGGCAAGAAACAATGACTTGTAGGAAAATCAAGGTGTCAGAATATTCCAGTAAAAACATTAACACACCCACAGTTGTATCACTTAGAAATTCACATAGTATATACTTTTGCTTCCTCCCAGTGAGAAACAAAGTTCCAGAAAACAGTGACTAGCACACAACACAAGACCACAGTTGTGGTTTGTTGCATCCTAATGTGTTGTCTCAAGCATTTAAATTATGCTGGAAAAGTTCACAATTTACACTAAGAAGTAAAAAAGTAAACAATCTATTCTGTGACCAGAGTGCCATTCTTCACTTTGGTTGAGACTCTTAAAGCAAAATATCAGTATGAAAGGGAGGAAACCCTTTTGGGAAAGGAAGGAAACAAGGAAGCAAGGACAGAAGGAAAGCAGTAGGTGTAAAAATGCACCCATGAGGCTTCTCTGCACAGTACACTTCCACTTGCTGTAACCAGCAACAGAGTGTGCACCAAGCCACCGTCCCCAAAAAGGTAAAATTCAGAGCCTACATCCTCACGAGATTAAGAATTCAAAGTTATGATTTAGTGTACTGTATGCTTTTACTACAATATAAAAGATAATTTTGTATTTGCAGTTTATATGCCCAAACTTAATGATAACTTACATCAGTATAATTCCCAATTTTTACCACCTACTGAAGCTGAAACTGCACAGACATTTCAAAGGGGGTATTTCAAACCAAGTTTTAGCAGCAGCAATGCACTGCTCACTGCAGCATTTCCCCATCCTTCTTGTATAGGATCTAGTAAGTTTTCTTGGAAACTGTTTTGTTTTTGTAGACAAGTTCTTAATTGTCCTTTCCTCCTACAAGTAGGGATTAGCCCAGTCAGAGTTTGCCTTTTCAAACCCCTCAAAAAATAATTCTTCTGCCACTCCTCAGATCTGACAATTTGAAACTAAGGAAAAGTTTGCTCTGGAATTCGCCAAATATTACTGAAGCAGAGATGCTCCAGGGGATTAAAATAAATTAAAAATCTGTGGAAGATCCTTTTAAAGACAATTGAAACCTTGGCACAGACGAGTGGGAGAGCTGTGAGGTCTCGCAGGTTTGTGGCTGTACTTCCACACAAGCCAGGAGAGTCACCCATGCGATTAGGGAAAAGCCTTCTTCCACAGGCAGCTTAAGTGGTAATTGTGCCTCCACTGACATCAGCTGGTGAACAGAACCTCAGGTGGGGTCCGGGTTTTAAAGTGAGAAAAGCAAAGCATGTCCCTGGCTTAGAGATCCATTCTGAGATGTTTGCTTGAAACGGGATACTGAAGAGTTAGTCTGATAAAGCAATTTCTTTGTCCCTTCGCTACGTCAACACACGTGCCGTATTACACAGCAGACTGTACTACAATGCAAGCTAAAGTCTTGGGTGAATTAAGAGACATTTTTAATACCTTTGAACTGCACAGACCACCAGCTCATACCCACTCTGCCCCAAAGCTGCATCACTTCAAAAATCACAACATTTATTTTTCATCCTTAATCATACAGGAAGTGATCAAAACTGGAATGTCAGAGGTAATGCAAGGCTTCACTGGATAATAATTAATCAATATTTTGTAAGCTATTTCCATATTAAATTTGTATTCTGGGCTAAGCATACCTTTACATTAAGACCCACGTATTAAAGTCACTAGCTTCACCAAGAAAAGAAATGCTTTAAAGCTGAATCTACACAACTTTAAAGATACTACATTCTAAGAACTGCATGTCTCTGGTCAGCCATCAAAAACCTCTCAACACACTAGTCTTGCATCTGCTCCAAGAAGCCTAAGAACCAAAAGGCTCCTTTGCTGTTAATGCTGAGGAATGGCCCAGGATTGCACATTCAGCATCCCACCTCCCTTCACCAGGAGTTCTCCACTTATGCTGCTATTTAATCCTCTTCTAAGCAGCTTCAGGCTCTGTCCATATGGGCTTTAATCCAAGTGATTTGAGTTCCCATGTCCTTAAACGAGTTGCTTTACCAGACACGTTTATGAGAAGTTTCCGCAAAGGATTGGAGCTTTCCTTAACCAAAATGAAAACAACCTCTTGGGTCAAAGGCACCTGCTCTCCACAACACTGTTCTCAGTCGATGCTCATCTTTGCATCATTGTCAGTCTCATGCAGCAAGGTTTTAAGTGTGATCAACACCACAGGGGCAGCCTTTTAACCAGATCGTATTTTAAATGCACTAGTAAAAAAGTTTCAGCAGCAGTTCGGGTATATGTGTGTGTGTGAGGAGAAAGCTTCGTGGGTGAGAACACTTCTAGCTGAACCAGCTGATCCAGCTGGGAGGAGTCGTTGTGACTATTCCAAGCAAGATCCTCTATCGTAACTAACTTTCAATACACAGAACAACTCCTGCATGTGTTTCTTGCTTCACACGTTATTTACTGCAACAGCCAGTTTCTATTCACATCCTTCATTTTTTCATATTTCTCTTCGCACTGTCTTTTCCCTCTCCCCAGATTTTTTTTCTCTCTAGTCCAAAGCCTCTAGTTCTGCTGCAAAACAAACATGTTTTGTTTAAGCTGCTCTTCCGTAACGCTTTTCGTGTACAGCCTTGTTGGGCAATCAGAACAAAAATCAAAGCCAAGTTGGTGGTGCAGCAGCAATTCTGATGAGCAGCTGAAAAGTTTATTTGTACAAATATTTAATCTAAGCTAGGGAAAAAAAAGTCTTTCCTTTTCTTGAGCTCTTCTTCTTGCAGTTGTCTAAATTGGGTCTCCTGCTCTTGTTATAGCACAGATGTCTCTCTCACAAAAAGCTGCAGTCTTATACTGTGGACTTTCATTCATCAGGCTCTAAAAGCCAATTCTGACTTCATTATAAACAGCATTACCCTACACCAAGACCCACAGACCGAGCGAGGCTGCTTTACAAGAAAGCGTTGCTCTTCAGTAGAGCTGAGCGCTGAAAGCACACATTAAAATATCCTGGTTCTCAAAGCAGATTTCACGGGTTTAGAAGTAGCACAAAACAACCAGAGAAGTTCTGGTTTGAACAAACCAGAGAAGTTTTCCACACTTTCTGAACAGACGATTCCATACACATCATCTTACGGTGCCATAGGATTTCTGCCCTACGCCATAAGCAAATTAGTCTCAAGACATCTGGTCCATGAGCACAGTTATATATCTTGTTTCTCACACGCACGCTTAACGATGGGAACTTCACAGTGGCCTCGTAGAATCAGAAGTTATTTTCTCCATTTGTGTAGAGCAAATCCATCAGACCACCACACTTCCTTCTGTGACTTCTGTCATGGTGATTGGGAGGTAAAATTCAACAACACAACTGAGCTCACGAAGAGAGGCAGAAAGAGACAGGAAGATTAGGATAATTCAGTAAAAGACCACACGGAAATTTTTGGCTGCAAAGACTTTGAAATTTCCCGGTGATTTAACCAAAAAAAAAAAAGTGGAGTCAAGCAACAACATGAGGAACAAGACAACATTGTCAGTGTGCAAGTAGCTTTTTGATTTAAACAGAGAAGTGTGGCGAAAGAACACAAAGAGCCAGGTATAAGTAAAGAGTGCAGAGCAATGCTGCTATCACTCCAGATATCAAGCCTGGTTGTTCAATTAATTGTATTAACACAGCACAACTAGCCTGATGTGACCCCGCCAAGCCCTGGTGCGCTGAAATTAGCGGCACAACGCAAGCAGAGCTGGCATTTTGTGACTATGATGAGTGAAACAGGACCTCGGCAGAGCTGCCGTTGCTCTCGCAGCCCCACCAGCTGCCAATGACCAAGGATGGCAAAAAGGCTCCTCAAAATACTTTCAGTTTGGTAAAAAAACGCATCCCCAACAAGGGGCCTGGCTAGCACAGCTTTACAAGGAAAGTCAAACATGAAGAAGCCTTTTAAAAATCCCCAGGGAAGCAGTCATTTTTGAAAAGTGGAGTGGGATAACGCTGCACCCCCTGCTTGAAGGCCATGGTGGACGGGTAAGCTTGGCTCCAAGTCACCCAGTATGCCTCCCAGCCTGTCTGGACCACTGCCACCAGCCAGACCCCAAACATGGTAACTTCACCCGTTTTCATCAAAAAGGTGGTCAGAGCACACTGGTCCCTTGTAACATCAGAGAAGCAGAGATGTGGAGTACCCAAACCTGCACGTGGTCTGCCAGGACAGTTACTCCAAAACCTTGAAGGCATTTGAGTAAGCAAAGCCAGTTTGCAATGGCTCAGTTGCTTGCAGCATGTGGCAATGGTGTTTTTCATCTTGTAGGCCCTCCAATACCCAGTTTACTGTC